GTATGGGTTTATTTCTGGACTCTCAATTCTATTCCATTGATCTATATGTCTTATGCTATACATTGATTGAGTTTTGAATGTTAAACCTCACTTGGTCATGATGTTTTATTGTTTTTATACATTGTTTAACTTGATTGCGAAAGTTTTGTCTGGAATTTTTGCATCCATGCTCATGAATATTGGCGTGTGATTTTCTGTATGTATAACATCTTTGATTTTGGTATCAGAGTAATACTGGTCTCATATAATGAACTGAGAAGTCTTCCCACCTTTTTAATTTTCTGGAAGAGTTTGTGGAGAATTGGTATCATTTATTCCTTAAGTGTTTAGTACAATTCCCCAGTGAAGCCACCTGGGCCTTGAGTTTTCTTAATGGAAAGGTTTTAGGTCCATATTCAATTTAAAAATTAGATTTGGGGCTATTCTGATTATACATTCTTCTTGATGCAGCTTTGGTAGTTTGTGTCTTTCGTTTTTCTTATGATTGGGGTTTAGCGAATTTCCTGAATCTATGTATTTATAATTTTTATCAAATTTGGAAACTTTTTAGCTGTTAGTTTTTGAAATATATTTGTTCCCTCTCTTCTCTCCTCTTCTTTAAGGACTCTAATTATATGTATATTAGGCTACTTGAAGTTATCCCACAGCTCACTGATGCTCCTTTCATTTTTAAAATTCTTTTTTCTCTCTGTCTTTCATTTTGGATACTTTTTACTGCTATGCCTTCGAGTTTACTAATATTTTCTTCTGTAATGTCTAATCTGCTGTTAATCCCATGCAGTGTTGTTTAATTTCAGACATTGTTTTCATCTCCATAAATTCAATCTGGTGCTCTTTGGTATCTCCCACGTTTCTACATAACCTTTTGCACATATGGAATACATTTACAGTAACTGTTTTCATGTCTCTGTCTGCACCATTCTCATCTGTGGGTGGGTGCTGGGCAGTTACCTCTGATCCTTTTCCCACTTCGAGTAGTTTCCGCTTATGCACGCACTGATCGTGCTCAGCTGAATGCTAAGGAGGGACATTCCGCAGATCTGCAGAATCTTCTCTGGTTCTTTGTCCTACTGACTCTAGCCACTCTGTTCACCCTGGACACTCAAGTCAGGAAGGCCACTGGGCTTTGGCTGGGTCCCCCTTCCTGCTCTGTGGTCTGGAAATTCTCTCAAGGCAGTAAGCTGGGCCAGTTGTAGGTTCACCTCAGTATTTTCCTGGCTCTCAGGGATTACTGTCCTTCATTGCCTGATGTCCAGTGTCCTGAAAATGATTGCTTCATGTATTTTGTGTATTTGTTTTTTGGCTGTTTCAGATAGGAGGCAGGAGGGTAAATGGGTCCTTGTTACTCCATGTGGGCCAGAAGTGAAAGTCAAATCTAGAATTTTGAAAGCTGTTTCAAAACTGCATTCCCTTTGTCTAGTTCGCCTCTGACATTTCTCTGAAATGTCAGCCAGGAAGAGGCTGTAGGGGAGATAAAGTGAAAATTTGGGGGGATGGGATGTTTACCAGCTGGCTTTCTTTCTGCAGAATAGCCATGTTCTTACTAACACAGTCAGAGACCCAGGCAAGGCCCAGACATTCCAGTCCCAAATATGGGGTGGCTGCAGGGAACCCTACACATGTACCAACTCTGGACCGCTCTCTGTGCCAGGGCCAGTCCCCAGTGGCAACTCTCTTGCTCAAGTGGGTCTGACTCCTGACTTCAGGGGCCAGGGGCTAGAATCAGCGGCCAGGAGCAGCCAGAGCATAGGAGATTTTTTTAGCACAATAAAGAGATTTGTTGTTCTAATGTGGTCTCCTTTTAAATTCTGAATCTGACTGGAATGGACAGTGACCCCTTGGAGCCAGATTGAGAGAATGCTGTCCTGGGAACGAGGGGATATGGGAAGTGGGAGAGGCCCGAGCCTGGTGGGCCAGCTCATGGCCTGGTGCAGGACCCCTGCTCGGAGACTACGGGGCTCTCGATGTCTAGCGCTGGTCCCATCCTTCTCTGGACCCCAGCAACACTGACCATCTGGGACACCTGTGTACACAGGGTTCTAAGAGTATATGGCCATGTGTTATTCTTCAAACATAAAGAATTTTAATTCTTGGATAATTGTTCTCCAAATATTAGTAACCATGATAATACTGTAAAGATTTCATAAAAGCTTCTTTTTATGTGTGTGTGTGTGGTAAAATACACATAACATAAAATTCAACGCTGTAACCATTTTAAAGTATACATGTATTTCAGAGGTATTAAGCACATTCACAATGGTATACAACTATCAACACTATCTAGTTACAGAGCTTTTTGAGTGTGTGTGGCTGGCTGGTACAGGGATCGAATGCTGGACCTTGAGGTTATCCACTCCGTGCTCTAACCAACTAGTTATAGAACGTTTTCAACCCCCCAATAGAAACCTGGTTTCCATTAAAGCAGTCAGCACCCACTCCTCCTCCTCCAAGCTCCTGGCAACCACTAATCTGCTGTCTGTCTGTATGGATTTGTCTATTCTGGATATTTCATATAAATGCACTCACACCATATTTGGACTTTTACGTCTAGCTTCTTTCACTTAGCCTAATGTTTTCTAGGCCCCACCATGTTGTTGCACGGGTCAGCTATTATTCATAGCTGAGCAATTTTCCATTGTCTGTATAGAGCACATTTTGTTTACCCATCTGCTGATGGACATTTGGGTTGTTTCCACGTTCTGGCTGTTGTGATTAGAGCTGCTATGAACATTTGAGTCCAACTTTTTGTTTGAACACTTGTTTTCAATTATTTTGGGTATATACCTGGGAGTAGAACTACTGGGTCATATGGTACTTCTGTGCTTAACCTCATCGAGGAACCACCAAACTGCTTCCCAAAGCAGCTGCGCCATTTTGCACTGCCACCAGCAGTGTGTGCATGTTGAAACTTCTCCAGATCCTTGCTAACACTTGTGATTTTCCATTTTTTAAATTATGGTCATCCTAGTGGATGTCAAGTGGTATCTCGTGTGTGTGTGTGTGTGTGTGTAAGCAGATTTATTGAGATGTACTTCACATACCATACAGTTCATCCATTTAGAGTGTACGATTCAATAGTTTTTAGAATATTCACAGATCTGCGCAACCAGTACCACAGCCAATTTTAGAACATTTTACCACCCCCAAAAGAAATGCTGTGTGCTTTATCTGTCACTGCCCTACTTTCCCAAACCTCCTCCCCAGCCCTGGACTTCCCTGTCCTGATATTCCATATGAATGGAATATCATAACGTGTGGTCTTTTGTGATCGACCTCTTTCATGTAACATATTTTAAGGGTTCACCCATGTTACAGAACGTATCAGTACTTCCTTCATTCTTTTTTATGGCTGAACAATATTCCATTACATGGATGCACCACTTTCGTTTATCCACTTATTGCTGATGGACCTTTCGGTTGTTTCCACCCTGTGGCTGTTATGAATGATGTAATTTCTCTCGGGTACATGTGGAATTGCTGGGTCGTGTGGCAACTCTAGGTTTCCTCGCTTGAGGAAGTGCCAGACTTTTACCAGTAGCTGTGTCATTTCACATTCCCACCAGCAGTGCACGAGAACTCTATTTTTTAATTTTTCACATCCTCACCAACACTTATTTTGTTTTATCATCATCATTATTATTTCCATCCTGTAATTACCCATCTTACTGGGTGTGAAACGACTCTCATTGTGGTTTTGGTTTGCATTTCCCTAATGACTTATGAGACTGAGCATCTTTTCCTGTGCTCATTGGCCATTCGTATATCGTCTTTGGGGAAATGTATATTCAAGTTCTTTTTTCCATTTTAAAATTGAGTTGTTCTCTTTTATTGTTGAATTGTAAGAGTTATTCATATATTCTGGATTGTCAACCTTTCTGTGATATATGATTTTCTCCCATTCTGTGGGTTATCTTTTCATTCTCTTGATAGTGTCTTTTTTTTTTTTGTCTTTTGTCTTTTTCCGTGTCCGGCAACGGATTGCAACCCTCAGTGTTGCGCCCGTACCGGACCGGGGACCGGCAACGGGATCGCAACCCTCGGTGTTGCTCCCGCGCCTCGCTCAGCGCCACCGGGTCGGCCCTTGATAGTGTCTTTTTTTTTTTTGTCTTTTGTCTTTTTCCGTGTCCGGCAACGGATTGCAACCCTCAGTGTTGCGCCCGTACCGGACCGGGGACCGGCAACGGGATCGCAACCCTCGGTGTTGCTCCCGCGCCTCGCTCAGCGCCACCGGGTCGGCCCTTGATAGTGTCTTTTGATGCACAAAACATTAATTTGAATGCAGTCCAATTCATCTATTTTTATAGAGCCGCTTTTGTATATTTTTAAATTTTTTAATTAGTTTTTATTATAAGATATTTAAAATATAGAGCACAAAGAATAATATAATGAAACTGCATGTTTCCACTACCAAGATTTCACACAATCACTTGACTTTAAGGTGTTAATAAAGGAGGATTTGGGTGCGAGTTGGTACTTTTGAGACTGAGTCGCAGGTTCTCTGTGAGGCTCATCGCAGGAGGTGTTCCCACCTCTTGTTTAAGGCTGACCTGTCCTCCTCTGGGACCTCCTCTTCTTGTTCCTTCAGCTCACATTCAATCCATTGCCCCCTCCCTCCTGTACCTTCAACTTCTCCTTCTCCCAACTTCTTTCTCAGCAACATTTACAGGTCTTAAAAACCTTCTGTTCTTCCACCGTCCGCTCCTCTAGCTCTGGCTTGTCTTCCTTCAACCAGCTTCTCTGCTGTTATCAGTAAAATCTTCCTTAAATATATCTTTGATCATGCACTCTCAGCCCTGGTTGAAAAACCTTCAGGGGCGTCTCATTTCCTTCTGGATTCCCTGAACCTGGTAGCAAGCTCTTCTCCTTGGAAATGCAGTGATGATGATGATGATGATTCTGCAAGTGAGTTAAGGACAGGGAGGGCTCCCACCTGCTTGAAAAATAGCAGCATGTAGCACAGTAGCTGACACAATGTAAGTACCCCCAAAATGAAGATACCGATGGCCATTGTCACCTGCATCACCCCCAGTGCAGGTGAACAATTCTGGCACGGCTGTGACTGGGAGGTTCCGGCCTCCTTCTGCATCCCCCGACTTGAGAACACCCACCTTTCTTCTCAGAGACGACCCAGAGGGTCATTCTTTCCAAGAGGTGAAATTGTGGCCACTAGGGGCACTCATGGCACAAAATGGTCTCCCTCTATTGTTGCCAGGATTCTCCCCCAATGTCACCTGTTAAACATTGCCCCTTTCTGCTGCTTCTTAAAATTAACCATTCTCTCCCCCACCACACCCCCAGACCTCTTCTAAGGTGCCTTACGTTAATAACATGATTAGGTCTAGGAGGGACCTGGGCACCACAGGGTTCCAGGCCCTCGGAGGGGGCTCTGGGAGAGCGTGAAGGGTATGAATGGGAGGGGGAGAGCAGTTTTTCCTGATTTTGCAATTTGCTGACAGACCCAGCCTGGCTCCTCGATGGCTACAGCTTTATCTCAAGGTGGGGAGGTGGGGAAACCCCACTTCCAGGGGAATTAGGTGCTGTTTTCCAACCTTCCCACTTCCTTGTACTGCTGTTAGACTTGGGGGAAATTTTGCAGTGCAGAGTCTGTGATCTGCAACCTATGACAGAAAAGGGAAGAGAAGCTGGCTGAGGACAACTTTACTACACACCTGCACGTCCATGCTGTCACAGACACAACCCCTCCCCCCCCCCCCCCCCCCCAC